ATCTCACTCCCTTTTCTCTTCTGCACAGTGGAGTCACTGGTGCTGGTGCTTGTTTCACTCTGGTTGGTTTTCTCTTCCAAGGAATTGCAAGCCTAGGATGAGTCAAGAAAAAAAAGCAGGAGCTGTGGATAATCCAGTTTCACAGCCCTGGGAAGACCTTGTGCTCCACCACAGTCAGAGCTGGTGGTGCTCCAGCTCCTGCCCTTAATTAATAGCTCTTAATTATCCCACTCCCACTGTTGGGAATTTTAGGAAGGGGATGACAGGAGAGCAGGACAATGACTGAGCAGACACACAGATGTTGCTGCCAGGATCTGTGCCCTCCCAACAGCCACACAGTTCACTTGGGAATGGATTCAGAGCTGGAGCAGTGAGTGTTCCCTGTGGAAGATCCTGGGGCTTCCACAGGAAACACCTCTCCCTCCTGGAAAGGTGTTACCCACATGAGGTGCAAGGAGGGAAAGCACTCAGGGAAGTGAGAGAGCTCAGAAGTAACTGATTTGGGGGATCTGATGTGCTGAAGTGTGATTTGGTTTTATGGGACTCAGCAGGGAGGGTGAGGAATGGGACAGGAAAAGGGGAAGGGAGATGCGAACAAGGCTGAACTCCAGCAGGAACAGGGAGAGAACAGGTGTAGTGGCATCAGGCACAGCCACAGGAGGACATGGAGCAGAGCTGAGGAAGAGTAGGGCTGCAGGATCCCCAGGAAAGGGTTTGTCCCACTGCAGTGTCCCTGACCCTCCTCCAGCACAGCACAGTGAGTGAACACATGGAATTGGAATGATGGAATAGAATGAGCTTAAATAAAAAAAAGGACAATGGGATTAAATAGAGATCCAGAACATAGAACAAAAGGGGGGGAAAGAAAGGACAAAGTAAGGGAAGCTGGGACAAGAGGAATGCTTCCAGGATAGAGCTACACCTGAGGAGTGGAGCACATGGTCCTCACCCTCTGCACTGCGTGTTTCTCTGTCCACTCCTTGGCATTGAGCAGGAACAGCTGCTTGTTGTACTTGTACTCTGAGGACTGAAGGTGAACACCAAGACAAAGATGTAACATCACCCTGAGAAGCTGGGGCTGAAGTCAGGCCTTGGACACCCCAGCCCTGACCATCACTCCGGGCCCCAACTGCCTCAGGGATCCTAGGGATGCCCCAGCCTGATCCAGTGTGTTAGCCCAGAGTGAGTGAAGCAGCAGCTCACCCCAAATCCACCCCCTGTGCCCATGGAGAGGGATTTGAGCTCACATACAATGTCTGCCATGAGAGGGTCATCAGGGTTGGGCTCTGCCATCAGCAGCTGGATGGAGGTCAGCAGGGTGGAGATGTTCAGGGAAGGCCTCCAGGCACCCTGCAAGGGAATGGGCTGAAAGCAGCAGTTCTGAGGGATAAATCAGCCCAAGGGTTGGCAGAGACACCTCAAGAGCATCAGCCCTTGAACCCAATCAGTTCAGAGACATCCCAGGACATACAGCCCTTGAACCTAACCAGCCCAAAGGCTGCCAGAGACCCCTCAGGACCCTCAACCCTCAAACCCAACCAGCCCAAGGGGTCTCAGAGAGCCCCAAGGACACACAGCCCACAGCAGCCTCAGGACCTACAGCAGCTAATCCCCCATGGCAAACCCTGCTCTCACACCAGGCTCCAAGGAAGCCTGACTGACAGCCAGGTCAAGGAGTGTTTGGACAACACTCTCAGGCACAGAATGGGATTTTGGGGTGTCCTGTGTGAGCTCAACTCATGGCCCTGATAGTCTTTGTGGGTCCCTTCCAGCTCAGGCTATTCCATGATTCCCTGGGCTGTATCCCACACTCCTTTGCTGTGTTGGGGGTAGCTCATTTTCTGACCAAATGCCTTTTGGCTCTGATCCTTAAACCCTTGGAAGCCTCTATGGAACAAACCCATCATGTGTGTCTCTAAACAAAGCAGATGCTGCTCAAACTTCCCTCCCTGCTCCTGTGTAAATAAGTCAGGAGCAGAGACATTCAATCAGGCTTTTAGCAGGAGCAGATAAGGAGCTCATTATCCTGCCCAAGGCTCACTTACCCATGGCCAAGCACTGCCTTACCTTTGGGGGTAATTTAAGAACATCCAGGCAAATCCTGCCAGCAGAGTCGATGTTGGGGTGGTAGATGGGGGTCAGGAAGCGAATCTTGGGGGGCTCAAAGGGATACCTGGAGAGAGAAAGAACAAAAAGGTGAGCTTTTATCTGTCAGTCTTCATATCTTCTATCTGTATCACCCCAAGTGATGCCATTGTTTCCTCATCCTGGTCCATGTGACATCCTTCCCCACAAGTCTTTGGAGGAGGCAGTGCTCTGCCTTGGCTGCTTCCAGCTGTGTCCAACTAGCACTTCCCTGGATACCCTTCCCTGGAGAAGCTTTGGACTCATGGACAAGCTCTTTCCAGCTAGCACTTACGTGGATAACCTTCTCAGGAGAAGCTTTGAACTCATGGACAAGCTCTTTCCAACTAGCACTTCCCTGGATAGCCTTCCCAGGAGAAATTTTGGGCTCATGGACAAGCTCTTTCCAGAAAGCTTTGAGACAACAGGACAAGGCAGAAATCATAGCATTGCACTTTTAGGCCATTGATCACCTCTCTTCGATGTTCAGTGAGAAATGAGTCTTTCAACCAGTGGAAATTAATTATGCATTTTAAGTGAAGGGGCTCAATCCCTTTCCTTTGTTGGGAGGATAAAGGAAAGATCCAGAAGGCAACACTTTCAGTAAATACTTCCACTAGTTCACTCAGAACTGAGAGCAGAACTATAGCAGCTCTAAATCATGGAATCACAGTGTGGTTTGGGTTGGAAAGACCTTAAATCCCATCCCATCCCACCCCCTGCCACAGGCAGGGACACCTCCCACCAGCACAGGTTGCTCCAAGCCCTGTCCAGCCTGGCCTGGAACACTCCCAGGGATGGAGCAGCCACAGCTGCTCTGGGCAACCTGTGCCAGTGCCTCAGCACCTCACAGGGAAGAGTTTCTTCCTAATTAATCTCATTAGATGTTGTTGCCCACTTACCTTTCAGGTACAATAATTTCCAGGTTGAATACTCCTTTCTCATATGGTGTGTCTGCACCTCCTATAATTTCTTTAAGAGCAAGAGGAAAACATATGTATTACATTTAAAATAACTTGAATTTGTCCAGCACCTTCCATGTGCCTCCCACAGCTACAGAACTCCTCAGGTCAGAGAATCCCACACTGGTTTGTGTTGGAAGGACCCTAAAGACATCTAGTCTTTAGACTAGGGCAGGGACACCTCCCACCAGCCCAGGTTGCTCCAAGCCACATCCAATCTGGCCTGGAACACTCCCAGGGATGGAACAGACACAGCTGCTCTGGGCAACCTCTGCCAGTGCCTCAGCACCTCACAGGAAGGAATTCCTTCCCAATATCCCATCTGTCCCTGCCCTCTGGCATGGTGAAGCCATTCCCTGTGTCCTGTCCCTCCATCCCTTGTCCCAAGT